ATAATTAAAATCTTAAAAATAATTTGATGAGAATACTGGTTTGATGAAAGCCGAGTTAAGCAAAGACACTGGATATTCCTGTGACAACACATAAAACAGCTGTTGAAAAAGAAAAAAAAAAAGTTGAAGAAAGAGAAATTTGTGTACAGTCTACAAAAAAAAAAAAAAAAAAAAAAAAAAAAAAAGAGGAAAATTAAAATGGAAATTCTGAGGTCAGTCATTTAGTTTAATTTTTTCATTCAGTGTTGTGTACCCAATATTCCAGTGAATGGTCCCATGCTAATCAAGAAGTCAAAAGAAACAGCACTTTAATTGAATGTGAAAGAAATTTGCTTTTCAATTGGATGGTTGCATAAATTTTAATTGCAGCATGGAACCTCATACCATATAATAAATGAAGAATAACAAGCACTCCTGCTGAGTCAGGTGAAGAGTGGTTTAAGAATGTATCCACCAGAACAAATGGATATGAATTAAGAGGCATTCTTAATGCTCATGGAACTACTCTTTTATTTAAACAAATGCCAGCAAGAACCCTAGCTTTCAGAGGTGAGCACTTTCAGAGGAATGTCTCACTGTGCAAAAGCTGATGGTGTGAGAAAAAATTTAAGTCATGGGAAAGTTGCAAAAACTAAGGTGCTTCAAACATGTTCAAACTCTGCCATTAGAATACAAAGCAAACAAGAAAGAATGGATGACTATGGCATTTTTATAAAATAGCTCAGGAAAATAGACAAAACTATGCAGAGACAAAACTGCAAAATTTTACTTTTTATGGAACAGTGTACTACCCATCCTCAAATGACAGATTTCTTGCAAAATGAGGAAGATGTTTTCTTCCCAGAAAATTTCCCTTTAGTTTAACCTTTAGATAAAAAGTTTAACCTTTAGATGTGTGTGTCAAGAATTCGAAAATGTTTTACAGGCAAAGGTGATTCAAATAGCCCTTCAAAATATAATTACAGGAAATACATAGACAAACATTTGAGGCAATCAAAATGATTTCACTTGTCTGGATTCAAATAAAATCACAAACAATTAAAAAATGTTTCATTAAAGAAGGATTTTTGATGACAAATGGAAGTGTTGGTGAAAATCATGATGAAACTGTGATTCTGGGTGAAAAAAATTGGAAATTACTGGGGTTAGACATTACAATCGAGAAATATGCCAATGTAATGACATCAAATTTATACACAGTTGAAGAGCTGACTGAAAACGTTTTACCAGATGAATATTTAAGTAGTGAGGACGAAGAAAATGAAAAAATAATCCCACCTCCTTTTCAAAATGCTATCTACTCCACTGACACCTCAAAAATTTCTTTCTTTGTAATAATACAAGCGAGAAAACATTTCAAGTACTGAATTTGATTCATAGTACTTTGCTTAGGATTCAAAATCAAAAGATACATCAGATGACAATTAATGACTTTTTCTCTAAAAAAATTAAAAATTTGTATTAAAATGTTCTTGGGAAAATTTTTTACCTTTCAAGATGGTAATCAAAAAATAAAAGTATGACTTTTTTTTATTTAATTTTACAAAAATCGTACTGAAATTTGCATTCTCATGATTTTAAAAATATTATATTATATTAAATATTTTAAAAATTCATATAAGTGAATATTGATTAAAATATTAATTAAAAATTTTTGGACATAGTTAATATTTTAAACAGATTGAAAGTACGATAAAAAATTGTGTAATATCAGCAGCAGATTAGTAGTATCAAAAGAGTGCAGTTAATTTACATATAGATATATGTATTGCACTTATATCACGCAGTAACAAAAGCGTGCAGCTAATATACATATATATATAGATATGTATCGTATTTATATGCTGTCCATGAATGCTTCCTTGAAAGACATATAAATGGGGCTCTACTCTATATCCAACTGTTAATTTTATGATGCTTTAGTATAACAAATGGAAGATATTTGTACAGTCAAAAGTCGTTAATTCGGACACCCATAATCCGGACTCAGTACAAACTTCTGCGCATGGTCGCGTGACGTAAGACGTTACGGGCGAATCTGTTGTGCGCGTGCGCAAAATACGTTAGAGTGCGCGTTTAATGTTATAACGGACGGTTAAGTTAGTAAATTATCTATATCTATTTCGTTATGGTGCAGATTGGTTTCTTAATTTCGAATTGGATCCAGCTTATTAATTTGAAAACTGTTAGAGCAGTTTTATAAAGTAAGCTTGAACTTCGTTATGTGAATAGAATTGGAATAATTTACTAATATGTAAAGGATTACAAAGCGAAAGTTATTTTGTTTAGTTCATTAAACAAAAAGTGGAATGCTGCAAAATGGATAAAGGCATTCCTTGTTTATCTTAACGCCGCGGTGGACACGCTATCAATTGGAAGTTGATCTGCAGCACTCTCCTTATATTAAGGGCAGATTTTTTATTTTATTGGCTTATAATTCCTACTATTTAGTATTATCTGATGTACTCGTTTGATATGATTAATCAAGTCTAGTCATTATAATGCTTCCTATAGCGAAGAAAGTGACAGAGAGGTTATTGAAAAGAAAAACATTTCGATGACAAATTAGTCGTATTTGGAAACGCAATTATAGGACGTGAACAGCAGAACTTGTAACCTAAACAAAAAATTATGTCTGTTTAATAGAATTAAAGAGAAGTATATCAATGAAACGAAGCAACTGAACAATACATGAAAGAAGTTTATAAAGTAAACAATAAATATTAAGCTTTCTTTTTGTAAATTTTGATACTTTTAGATCATAATGTTCTTTATTTATAAATTACGGTTTCATATTTTAATTTTGTAATTTCGCCATACATCTTCCAGATTTAAACTGATGATCTAAATCCGAATCGCGAAGTCCCGACGAGTCGGATAACGACTTTTGACTGTATATAAATCTAATATATGGCCTATACGTTTTCGAGACATGAAAAAGGCAGTTGGATTTCGTCATCGGCCAGTAGAGGAGATATAGAACTTTTTTTTTTTTTTGCACAGTGTATATCATCATGGTAAAGAGAGATACTATTAATATTGTAGAAAGTCCAGGCGGTGAGATAGCTTCCCGCAAAGCAGTTTTGGGTGCCTAAAAGGGGAGATAAGGCAGGGTTGCCACATTGCGCAAAATGGTATATGCTATGAAGAATGGAGAATATTTGGAACGAAGTCTTACCGTTAGCCAGAATGTGCTCAAACACAGCGAAATCAATAAACCTGTGGTAGTGAGAGTAGTTAGTATCGGTGGGTCTCATCTAGCGATTCATTCTGCGGCGTCGATCCAGTTGACAACAGGGCAGTGAGTGCCGAGTGGGTCAGCGAGTGCCAAGTGGGTAGTCGAGTGCACCGAAAGGGTCTCGTAGTGTATTGCAGTTAGTGCATCATCAAGAGAGCGTGTGAGCTCGAGGAACGATGAACCAAAGACTCGGGAGCTGTGCGCGGTGTCATCGAGGAATCCAGTGTAGCGTAGAAGTCTCGAGAGTTGGAGTCCGAGACGACCAAGCAGAGTTGGGAGCTGTACTTGTGCTTTGCATGAAGCGTCTACACGATAGCCTGATAACCTGGAGGCTGTGTCACTGATCATGCCAGCATGTTTATAATAGTTCATCGATGAATGTAAAAACGTGTTTTGGAGCTGTCCTGACAATACTGGCAATAAATGGTGTTTCGATACTTCATCAAGTAGTATTGTCATTATTCACTCCAAGTCCTTACGAACCCCGTACGAACGTGAAGGAAGAAAATAACGTAACAATATATAATTTTGCAACTGAAATATTAAATCTGAAGAATTGCAGGTAAAATCTCAATTTGACAAAGTTAAATAAATGAATTTTAATATTAATTTTTCAACTTGGAAAAATATTCCAGTTTACTATAATATTTAAATATTATGGTACCGTAATTTCCGGAAGAAAGGCTGCATCAGCGTAAATGCCGCACTCGAGAAAAATGGCGGGAAAAAAATTAAAATTGCACAGAAACGCCGCAATAGATTAAATTGCGCGTGACATCGTTGTGGGCCATATAAATGCAAAAACTTAACCTAAGTCCTGATATATGACATACCAGTTAAGAAAAATGCATGAAATGAAAACATAACTCAAAATAAATAAAGGTAAGAAATGTATAGCTTCCGTGCCATTAGAGACATTTTCAAAAAATTTCCGTCCTAATTAAAAACATCCAACAAGTACTTGTACCCTAACTGATGGGATCTGTATTTGGCAGAATGCCAAGAAAAATCCTTCATGCTGAAGGGGAATACGTAGAGTTCGTTACGCGAGGCAGGTGGAGTCGTGTCCGCCTTTGAAAAAAATTGCAGAAGGCAGGGGTGGAAAGAGGATGGGTCTGGAAGATCATCGAATGGCAGAGGAGAGAGACTATTCAAACTGATGAGAATGTTGATTTGAAAGGGGAAGAAGGTTATTGTTCTGAGATCTCGTTTAGGGTGAATAAGATGTAGGTCCGTTCAAGGAAAGAAGTAAACAAAATAACGTCGCAAAAAGCAACTGAGTGGTTTTTGTGTGGGAACAGCACCAATCTATGCGCAATGACAATGCCATCCAAACTATGTACAATGACCATTATAGGAAATATTTTATTTTTAGTGCACCTAAACGCCGCGTGGGTAGAAACGCCGCACCCGCTGAAAATTTAAGTTTTAAACACGTAAACGCCACGGCGTTTCTTCCGGAAATTACCGTATTTAAATACAATCTTTTAATAAATGCCTATAAAACATATAAATAAAAATGAGTATATTTTGCATAAGAAAGTTATATATGATAACTCATAAAATACATATAATGACTAATAATAAAATATATGAAATATAGGTCTCAGGATTATGCCAAGATTTGAAGTAAAATATCCGATTATAAAAATACCTTATGAAAGCAATTTTATTTCATTCCAGAATGCTTATAAAAGATCTTTCTCTAAATTAAATTAGAATACTAATAACATTTATATATATATATATATATATATATTACCATAAAAACTGCTCAATAGGAGTTATACCATGCTGGATAGCATGCTGCTGTATTAAAGTCAAGGCAGCAGTTGGGAGGATTTCCAACCAATTTTTGTACAACTTGGAACTCTATTTTTAGCAAATAATAATTATTGTATTATGAAATTTTTATATCACAGTAAAATAATCTATGTACAAGGGAAAAACCTATCAATTAATAATGTCAAATAAACCTAGCATATATTTTGTACTTCTGTTTCGGACTTTATGGAATGCACTTCTGACACATAATGCATCAGAAATCCTCATTAAGATATCTTGATAACATAAATTCAGATTTAAAAATATTAGAAAATTTTTGAGAAAATAATAACCTGGCTTAAAAAAAAAGCTATCAACAAATAAATGTACTTTCTCTTTTCCTATTATTAAATAATTTGGCTTGTTTTTATTAGACTTTTCTTTTTGTAATAATTTATAAAATCACACTTATAAAACATTTCACATCAGTGAATGAATTACGCAAGACTGCACCATAATTACTATTTTTTCTCCATTTCATGCAAATTTAATTAAGTACAGTCTCAGCTATGTAACGAAATATATGTCCTTACTATGGAATAAAATTTTCATACATTAATTAAAATGCATTCTATAAAATAAAATGATTATAATTGATGAGAAATTCCAGAAATTTATAAGAACTATTATATTTTAAATTTTAATTTCCTTCTCATTTACCTTTTAACCACTGGGAAGTTGAATTAAATATGAATTAGACTAGAACTTAACTCATATTACTGAATAAATTTTACACTTCCCTACTAAAAATGCCCCATAGAAACCAGTAAAACTTTTTATGGGTTTCTATTGACTTTTGTGGTTTTGTTGGTTCTGTGGTTTTTATTTTACTGGTTTCAAAATGACCCATAGAAACCAGTAAAACTTTCTACTGGTACCTATAGAATTTGATGGTTTCTACTGACGTTTATTGGTTTCTATTGATCTCTGTGGGTTTTCTTATGGTATCAATGACACCCATACAACCACATTTTCATTTTCAATGGCAGAACTTTTATGGTTTGTATAGGTTTATATGACTTTTACTGGTTTTCTTACTGGTATCAATATATAATAAATCTTCTGTTGGTGTATATGGGTTTTATGCTTTTTTTATCTGACAGCTAATAGACTTCTTGTAACATAAAATTAACAGAATGAAAATATGATCTCTTAAGACCATCAGAGTAACCTGGAAACGCAGGTGGTCGTTTAGAGAGGTTTTTTACTAAACATCTTATTTATTTGATTTAATTTTTTTTTTTTCGGATACAATAACAGTAATCAATATACCCACACACAACGAGGTCTCTCTAAGGCAACCAGCCGCAATAAAAACATCTTTGCAAGTGTCGCCTTAGAGAGTGATGCTCAATACCAATATATACTCACGTTCTAGAGATACATTTATCTTTTAGAGGTGGTCGCTTAGGGAGATTGCTCTATGGAATGAATCTCTCTAAGGCGACCAGCCACACTTGCAGAATTTTCTTTGTGAATGGTCGCCTTACAGAGGGAATTCAACACCAAAGTATACTATGTTTTCAGAAATATGGTTCTTTCAGAGCGGTCTCTTAGGGAGGTGTTTTTTGCTACGATTGTCTCTGAATATCAATACAACACACATAAGCACTCCATTTGAATTACAAATAAACACCGGTATCAACACATCTCTTTAACGCAAACAAGTTCATTCACAATCGCAGAACTTTTCTCCCTGTGAACGCTGACGAGAAGAAAAAAATTCCCCTCCCTCACCCACTCTCAGAAGTTCCCAAACAGGATATGGCGCCTCTAGTTATTTATGCGATGGTGGTGTTATTTTCTTCTGGGTTGTAGTAATGCAATATATTTACTGATTTACTGTATTACAAATTTTACTATGTTTACTGTTTAGAATAGTATAACTATAAAATCCGCACTGACTATAATTACAACTAAGCCGTGCAGTGTTTGTCAAATGTTTGAGAGAACGTTGCTGAAACTGACTATGTGAAATGGAGTTTTTGTGCGTGAATTGATGTTCTTTACTTTTAACCTGAAAAAAAATTGCTTAAAAGAAAAGTATAATTTCAGACTTGTAATTTGGTCAGTGTGCAGATGCAGAAATATAGTTTTGCATTCTACTGAAAACTGTATTTTAAAAAATTTATTTTTTGATTAAAGTTTAGAAATACTTTTTTAAAGTTGTTCATGTAGATGCTTATCATTGAATATATGTACTATAAAATTGAGCATAACCTTACTTAAAAATTATCTTGCTGATTCCAATTTTCGACTAATGTGATGGGCAAGCAAAAAGAATGTTTTTTAGTTTTAAAAATGCACTAATTATATTCGCGAGCAAAAAGGTAAGTTTTATAATGAAATAAACATTGAAATATTTAATGTGTTATTACTTATACAAGCTTAAGGTTGACGCAGCCCACAAAAAGGCCATAGGGCGACGTAAAGTCTGCCAGGAGGATCGGGCTGCTTCCCTCATATCATATCATATCATATCATACAAGCTTAAGGAATCTTTTTTCCATTACTAAAATAATGTAAAAATTTAGATGATCATAGTAGCTTACATTTTTTTCTTTTTGGTCTATTTTCTTTACAAGTATGAAACTAGAAATATATTTTTACATTAAATATTTTGTGCTCTTTTGTTAAAACACATATAATCATTTTAATGCATACTTTAATTTTCCTTATTGTTTGATGAAGAAAATTTCAAATGTGTTTTTCTAAATTGCTTTTGAAATAGAAATAGATTTGTAATAAGATTTTGTAATATTAAATGTACAGTCTTGGGAGTTATAAAAAGTGAATCATTTATTTGAAAAAAATTACATTAAGTTGAAACCTCATATAGTGGTTATTTTTTAAATGACCACCTCTAATGGCACATTTGTCAGGACAATAATTAAATAACAGGACTAAAAAATCATTCATAGTTTTGTCAGGCTACAGGAAACTGGCATTTCTCGAATTGTGGAGTTGATGTTTTAGGAACGTTTTGCTTATAATCAAATGATTCGGTGTAGTAATTTTCTGTGGGTATGAATTTTGCAGAAGTAATTGAAAGTTTTTACGAGACAATTAAAACCAAAGCTTTCGGATCATGAGTCTTAAAGGGCACTGTATAGCATGTTTCAGATATAGTTTGAGTAATATTTAAACATTATTTTCGAAAGCATTCCACGAGAATCCGGTTGTTCTCGTACAGATGAAAACCCATATAACATAAATCTTCTTACAGCCTTATACAATGCAGTTAAATTACTGTCATTACAATTAAGCGATATAGCTCATTTGTTTACAAAAGGTTATTATTGCTAAATACTGCACTATATAAATTAATTTGCCATTTCAATTCAGAAAATGCTCAGAATGAGGTTTTTTATAATCTACTGTCAAACAATAGCTACCTTTTCATACTTTAAATTTTACTATTTAGAATTTTTATGGTTCAAAATAATATTCTATACATTTCTAAAGTATCTTTCTACATAGAAATCTAAATAACTTACACCTAAAACACTGACTCAAATTATTCAAATAATGCATCACTTTAATTAAATTTATGTTTCTTGAGATGATATATGAAAAAACCTTTGTGTAATAATAATTATAATATATATAGGTAAAATGGTATTTTTATATTTTTTCGGGAAAGTGCAGAAATCGCCCACTTATTATTTGGCACTTTTTACAAAAGTAAGAAAAGGATAAAAAGAAATTAGATTTTGTCAATTTTTCTTTTGACTTTTTTTAAGTGAAAATAGGTTGATGTGTACATGAAAAGTCAAAGGAGTGCACAATGGCATTTTGTGCAATTCTGGGATTTTTTTTTTAAGTGAAAATAGGCGTGTGTACATGGATACCGAGTATGTGCAATTCTTAAAAACCCAAGCAGTAGGCGATTCTACACTTTCCCCATTTTTCTATAGGAATTTAGTTCCTTAATTAGTTATTTAGTATAATATGTGTATATGAGTATATTCATACTTATTCACATAGATGGAATTTTTACAGTACAAAAGTTATCTTTTTTACATCAAGAAATACATATACTATAAATACTCATTATGTATAGATTTTATTTATGTAAAATCTGTGGAAGATTATATAGCATTAAAAGTGAGATACGAATAAAACATTATACGCTATGAGATATTTTCTTAATTCCCGAAACTGTGCGTTGAGAATTGGTATTTGTTGAAACTTGTAAATTTTTTAAATTCATTTTGTTACAATATAATTTATGTATTTGGGTACTATTAAGTTTATTATATGTTATCTTCATGTTTCATTTTATCTTTGAGAGATACAGGTAACATTCAAAGTATTGTAATAAGCGGTCGTCACAGTGTTGTATTATTATTCTTCACTACATTATATTCTGGATTCATCCTTTCTTCCATGCAAAACATCTATGTGTATGCATGTCATAATAAGCTGCAGGTGTTACTATCATTGGTAAGCGAGCTTTAAGGGGATAGCAAGTATGCTAAATTTGAACCTTATGTTAAGTTTCTAATTTGCAACTCCCGTATACTTTTTGCTTGCTTGTTAATAATGTTTCTCTTCCTGAAAATTTGGTTTCTTCTAGTTATCTTTTAATTTGGTTTAGTGCATTGTAGGTAACTTAAAATTTAAACAGATGCTAGAAAGTACCATCCTTTGGCAATACATTTCTCATTAGGTATCAAATTGTTAAACAAGCTGATGTGATTAAATAAATTGTTTAATTTCCCAATTAAAGAACTGAAATACAAATATATGCAGCGAGGTACAGTACTATATGTATATATTTATAATGAAATCAATAATACAGTCAAAGTAATGATTCGCAACCAAATGAAATGAAATTATATATATATGTAATAGATTCTATAGTCGAATACAAGCAGCTGAATCCGTAATGAACAGCAAGAATTTTGATGGCTTAGAGATGTTGAAACTCCAATCCACAATGAATAAAAAATTTGGCAGTCGAGGTAGATTTAATTCAACTTTTCTTTCAGCAAATATGTTGCAGCCACAAACAAGTTGGCACATTATTTATGCCTATTCCAAAAATTAACATTTTTGATAAATGTGTAGTAAGAAACAAGGAGCAGACAGACTGCAATCCAGCTAATACAAAGCATAAAAAGCAAATGCGTTATATTAAGGGTGAAATCTTAATTCAGACCGAGTTAATTTTGGTTCTCGATGCATTTTTACTCGTATTTGATAGTTAATACTGTAAAATTACTATTGGCTGTTTGAGTTTTAGTTTCTTTTACAACATCAAATTATGTAAGAGTCATAGACATGAATTAATCTCGAAATGATGCAGTGCAGAAAGATTACTGTTTTTAGAATAGAGAAGGAAAATTAATTTTATGCTGCTAATTTAATCTTTTGCATATTCCTTATTTTTTACATATATATATGTACATATATCATTCGATGGTTGTGAATCATGATTTGGTTATTATCTTTCTATTCATTTATTTTCAGAATTATATAAAGGTAGTTTAAAATTTTGTAAAGAGAATTTATACAAATTTTTGTAATATGTTTATAGATATTGACGTGCATTAAGAAGGACGGGCTCGTAGGCTTCTAGATATTTTAAAATTTTTATTAAGTTTATTCGCATTCGAAGTTTTATTTAAAATTAGTCTACATGCTTTCTCCGCAATTTAGTTCTCTACATTTAGTGCAAATTATGTACTTCTGCTGGTTTATATTTTTATTTACTAGTTTCTATGAAAATTTGATCTACTATTTTTGTGTATTGTTTTTTATAGGGATTCTGTATATGGATACCCGTTCTATGTACGATTCTATGTATGGATACTCTACTATGGTATAATTCTATTGGTTTTGTTTATGGGTTTTTGTGTACTGTTTTGTGCAGCGATTTTTCCAAGAGGTACCATTTATTGGTCTGTGGAATTGTTGTGTATAGTGGTTTTTACAGGGATTTGGCCTATGGGTGCCTGTATAGGTGTACGTACATGCTTTTGTCTACTGGCTTTTACCAGGCATAGAACCTACGGAATATCCATTTTTAATGGAGATTTGGCCAATGGATATGCATAAAGTTTTGATTTTTGGCTACGGGTTTTTACTGGGATTTTGTTTATAGTGCCATACAGTTCTACAAGGTTTTCTACAGAGATTTGGCCTACTTGTATCCGTACAGTCGTACGGGTTTCTGTTTACAGATTTTTTACAGGTATTTGGCCTACAGGTTACCTGTACAGCTGTGCAGGTTTCTTTATATGGGTTTTTATGGGTATTTCGGCCTATGGGTACCCGTACCGATCTGTACGGGTTTCTTTTATGGGTTTTTACAGGGAATTTGGCCTACGGGTACCCGTACAGCTGTACGGGTTTCTTTTATGGGTTTTTACAGGGTATTTGGCGTACGGGTACTCGTACGAGCTGTATGGGTTTCTTTCTATGGGGTTTTACGGGGAATTTGGCCTACAGGTACCCGTACAGTTGTACTGGGTTTCTGTCTGTGGGTTTTTACGGGAAACTGGCCTGCGGGTACCCGAAGAGCTGTACGGGTACCCGTAGGCCAATTCCCGGGTAAAAAAATTTTATGGGTTTCTACGGGGCATTTTTAGCAGGGTTTTTATTGTTAGTAAACGCACAAATACTTTGAATAGAAAATATTTCATTAATATTTTCTCAAAAAAATTTTTTCTAAATTAGTTAAATCTTTTTTAACAACATTAAAGCTCTTAAATTAAAAGCTATGAAATTAAGCAAAATGAAAAATTTAATTATTTTCACATTAATATCTGTAAATTTCCTACAGTTTAAAACTTAAATACTTTAATGCCTTATATTACTTTAGAAACAAAAATCAAATAAATAAATTAAAAATTTTAAAAACCATTATAATTATAAATTGACATTTATACAATACTTTTCTATTCATGGCATAGAAATAAACCAAAAGTAAAAAATATGATAGCGCAAAAAAGCATGAAAAATTAAAGTACCTGAATTTTGTCCAATTGTTTTCTATAACACAAAAGCAGAAGGGTCAAATGAATGTAAATATGAAGATGATGATTTTGTTTTTTAAGGCTAGATAGCTGTATATGAACTTGGATCTTTCCTCTTGTATAACATCTTTGTGCTCCTTTCTTTAATAACCATAAAAAATCTTGACCATTACAAGGTATGGACTGAAAGAAATAGTTCTCTCAAATGCATGGAAATTAAAACTTTTCCACTTTCCAAGCTGGATATTATACAATTTAAAGAAATAGATTTATATTATGTTTTGAAAATAATATTAAGCAAACAGTATTGGTTGTGAGAATCAACTTTAACTGCTCCATCCATGCGGTTTTCACAACTCCTAGAACTGCAGGTTTCAATACTTAAATTGCTCATCAACTGTTGTTTTTAAGTTACTGTATGGCTTGTGGTTTATTTGCATATGCCTTTCCTTTAATTAGTACAGAGATAAAATCTCCAAACCGTTAAATCAGCCAACTAAAATGACCAATTAAAATTCAAAAAACAGGAAATTATGTTATTGCCAAAATTTTCCATCATTGTTTATCATGTTGTGTGATGATAAGAAATCAGTAAATTACAAAAGTATTAGCTGGAGACCTAGGTACATTTTGAACACTGAAGAAGCTTTATGTTCATAGCATCAAAACAGGTTTAATTTCAAAGTAAAATTGAATATCTTTCATTCATTCATTCTAATTTCCAGATTTCTCAGCACAACAATGATATGTTGAAAACTATTATCTTCCATAATTACTAAAAAAATATACTTATTTTAAGAACTTTTATACCTCATCCTTTACTTCTTACTTTCATTCTGATATTTCTTTTAAAAAAATAAAAAGTACTCTGTAGAGACATTAGGTATTTTTTGGAAGCAAGCAAGATGAAAAATGAGTGATCGCCTTCGCCGGGAATCGAACCACGGACCTCTGTAATACCGGCAAAGCATGCAGAACCACTACACCACAAAGGCAAGCTAAGCAGGTGGGAGAAATACCTTATAACTTCATAAAAAAAGGAAGAAAAAAGATAGATAAGGTATTTTAAATGCATAATATTTAGAATATTTTCCTTACCTTTTTCCAACAAGTAATTATAATAATTACTTTTTTACATAAAGCAATTATACCTGTACTTCAGATTTAACTATAATTTAATTGGAAATAATAAGAAATACAGAACTGCACTTTTTCCATGAAAAATCACTTAACTCTGTGTTTTTTAATTCTATTTTCTACAACTGAAGAAATATTTCTGAAATAATACTTAAGTGATGTTTTTAGTTTTGAAATATAACAAATATGAAAATTTCACATGCAGTAAGATCTGTTCATGTTTAAAGATTAATCGGTATCAAATTTCTAAAACTAAGCTAAATTTCAGCTTAATAAGGAAAAAAAAAAAAAAAAAAAAAAAAAATTGACGTATTTCTGGAAATAGTAGAAGAATCTGAATCACTAACAGCAAAAATAATAAAAATAATCCAATAATTATCGTTATACCTAATTAAAAATCACAAATGAAAAAGCCACCATTTCAAATACAAAGGTTATCACAAATACGTACAGTGTTTTACTAAAGGAAGAAGAAATTTAAATTTATGAAATAATTGTTTTACAACTGCCTCAGTTATTACTGACAAACAAATTTCAAGCTTTTAATGACACGCGTGCACACATGGGTAGTGCTGCGCCACTTATGGTAAGTAAATTACCTCAGTTAATACTTTGTTTGAAAAATAGTAGCAACGCCTCAGTTTATCGTGAGACTGTGATTAGAACAGAAGTTTAAAATTTTTTTAAAGAAATGAGTTTGTAATGAAGCAGTTTGTTGCAAATAATTTAAATAAAATGTTTATGCCTAAAAAGAAACTTCTTGTCTGTCAATTTCAAGCGAGCTGTCTCATTTATCTGATTTAATGACTATCTTTAGTCTAAAGTAAACGACATTTTTGATGCTCCCGGTAGTGCAGGCTTAATTGAACAGCGACAGAAGCTAGAAAAGGTAAGAGAAGATTTATTGCTTTCCATTTTGAAGAATATTCGAATGATTGAATACTTGAATATTTTGAATGATTGAATTTGATACCTAAACGGTAATTTATGTGTATTGAAAATACAAAGTTTCAGAAATTTTGAGTGAATAACTAAGATAGTAGATATAGGAATAATAAAGAGAAACAAAACTGTTCAATGGGCTTCATTTACAAAGCCCTATAATAAATTAGAAAGCATACTAACTGATGATAGCATCAAATATGACGAAATTGAAATATGTATAGGTTTATTTAAACAAAAGGGCAGACACTTAAGAATTAATTCATAACAGTTATTTAGATAGTTTACAAAATGAAAATGACTTTGAAACTGAATTTATTTTAGTTGAAGAGTATCACGAAAAGGCTTTAAGAATTTAGTTAAGAGCCAAACAGGTGTTAGATAATTTGTTGAAAAATATTTCAAGTGAAAACAAGTTTGATGGTTACAATAATAGTCATTCATTACAAGACAATAAATTGCCAAAAACTTTATGCCAGCTATTCCCTGAAGTTGAACTTTATAAGTTTGGAGGAGAATTAAAAAAGATTGGTTAAGATTTTGGAACCAATTTAGAAATATACATCACAATGTAAACCTAACTAACGCAGATAAATTTCATTATTTAATTCAGTCGAAGAAAGTAAATTCAGAAGCTAGGGAGATAGTTGAATCCTTTCCAGTGACAGATGAAAACTATTCTATAGCTATTCAAAGTTAGTCGAAAGGTATGGCAGAGATCTATTAATAGATTTTTTATGTTAGAGAGTTATTAAAACGCATCTTGGACAGCGCAAATAGAAATAAATGTGATTCTTTGAGTTGTTTATATAATAAGCTATCTACTCAATTGAGAGCACTGAGCTTCTTAGGAGTTACATCTGAAATGTGCAGCGTAATATTGCATCCTCTTGCTGAAAGTGCATTGCCTCCAAATGTTTTACACTCATTCAAATGTCAAAGAAAAATATAGAAAGCAAACAACATTTAGCAAGTCTCGATGCAATTCTTTGTTTTCTGAAAAATGGAGTTCAAGCTCCCTCCGAGTGAGAGAACTTAATGGCGCCGCCGAGTCACAAGTTCAGAGATTGGAAACCTTCAGCAGCGGAATTTATCAGTCATAATGCAGACAATGACACTTGATGAACATATTGTTCAAAGAATCACAAGACTAGATTTTGCAAGAAAGCATACTTAATTTCATTGGATGAAAGATCGTCTGTTATTAAAAGGAAAAGTTTATGCCATGTTTGTTTAGAGAAGGGTCATTTAGCCAAACGCTGTCTGTCTAATAATAAATGCTATTGCTGTCCTAAGAGACATTTAAAATTTATGTGTCCAAAATTTTCAAATTTCAAATGTAATCATTTGAGTGAGGTATCAAAACAAGATGCTAATGAAAATAAAAAAAAAAAGGTTTCAGATACTTTACACTCGCGGGTGCATGTAGAAGTATTTTTACAGACTCTTGTAGTTACTATTAAGGGAAAAAAGGCACAGTGTAAAGAAAGGATAATTTTAGATACAGGTTCTCAAAAGTCTTACATTAAAAGGTCCATTGTAGAAGAGTTAGGTCTTGATTTTCAAGGAGAAGAGGAGCTTTCACACTCATTATTTGGAGGTAAGAAAATCGAAACACAACGACATAAATGTTATAAAATTTATTTCTATAGCCTTAACGGTGATACATTTGTAGTTTAGATGCCCTGGATCCGGATATAATCTGTAATGAGATATCTAGTGTTAGACACGGACCTTTTATGAGTGAATTAAAATGAAAGAAAATAATTATAACTGACTTTCAAAATGATGTAAGACATATTGAAGTGCTCTTGGGGGCTGATGTTGTTGGTAAACTATTTACGGGTAAGCATAAACAATTGACATCAATTGACATTGGGATTAGTAGCCTCGAAGACTAAATTGGGTTGTATATTAATGCGAAAGGTCCCTCAGGTAGAATATCATAATGTGAATATGACTTTTGTTAGTATGCTTTCTCAGGAATTACCCGTTTCACTTTTGTGGGACTTAGAGCTGCTTGGTACTAGAGATTCTGGTCAGCAAAATACAAGATTGGCAACAGGCTATAATGATTCATTTTCAAGAAACTGTTCAACGAATTTCAAATGGAAGGTACAAAGTAAGTTTGCCATGGAAAAAAGGTCATGCATTTTTGCCGAATAATTATAAATTATCTCTCAAGAGATTAGAATCAACTTATAAGAAATCAGAAAAAACTGGATATACAGAAAAATACCAGCATGTGCGCTACTTATGGTAAATAAATTACCTCAGTTAATACTTTGTTTGAAAAATAGTAGCAACACCTCGGTTTATCGCGAGACTGTAACTAGAACAGTAGTTTTAAAATTTTTTAAAAGAAATGAGTTTGTAATGAAGCGGTTTGTTGCAAATAATTGAAATAAAATATTTATGCCTAAAAAGAAACTTCTTGTCTGTCAATTTCAAGCGAGCTGTCTCATTTATCTGATTTAATGACTATCTTTAGTCTAAAGTAACCGACAGATGGATTATTTAGAAAAGAAAAATTGTTGGAATGTTTGTGTAAATTTATGATCAGTTTCACCTGAAGTTAAAATGTAGTTATATTTACAAATATTAAGGCAGCATGCCAAAATTTATCTAAACAAGCAGTGGCTAATTAGTAGCTTATGGACCATGTGCAGACAGCTAAATCACTTTTTTTAGTATGCTGCAAGGTTAATAAAATTTATTGAACCCTGTGAATTATCCCTACATGATAAGAAACAGCAGTAAACTATTGTAGCAGTGTACTCAATAACTTTTATGCATCTGTCCACACGCATGCATGCACACTCAGAGCTACACACGAAAGTAATGAATGTGGTATGAAAATAATTATGTGGTGAGAAAGTGATTATTTTTTATGTATATAGATTTAAGGGAAGGCATACATAAAATATCTGATAAGCTATTCCTTATTAAGTGACTGACAGGCTTTTTTATCGTAAGAAATAAAGTTTCCAAGTATGTAATTCCTTCTTTTTTTGCTGTATTGCTGCAGTTTTCCTTTATATTTTATATAAAAGTTATTTAGAATTTAGAAAAATGACATAATTATAGTGCTGGTATTTATTGCA